ATTAATAATAAAGCGAATAGGATGCATACGCGCGCAGGCGTTAAGCAATGCTCAGTCATACCAGCTCATACAAACCATACAATTATAAAAGCCAATTGTACATACAAGTTGTTGCTACGCGAATGGCTTGGTTAAAGAAATTAATCGAAAGGGCTTAAGCAAATTAAATGTAGGTAGATGCAAATTAATGTGGAGGCACTACACTATTTGTGTAATATAAAGTTTCTTTGAACATCAAACGCCGCTTATTAATGTCAACGAAGAATTCATATATCTCTCAAAAATTCATTCCCAGTATTGGCAGTTCCGCTACATTTAACTCGTAGATACAATGTCTGTTAAATCTTAAACCTAGCATTACAGTTTTCTGTTCAAATGTTGCAATTTTAGCCTAATCGAAAACTGAAGGTGCAACTTAGGAAATTCCTCAACCCAGGTAAGCTTTATTTTAAGGAACGCTACTCAGTGCAGCATCTGCATCAATCAAAACATTAAAGCCAGAATTTCTGTCTGAAACATAAAATAAGGGACTACTTATGGACCCCTACTCAGTCATCACAATCTAAAACGAGGCCATCTGTTTCTGATAACCTCAGAAGTCTGGAAAGTGCAAACAGATGATTGAATGCACCAGACCGATTTAATACCAAACTTCCGTCTGCAGACCCTTCGGGGCTACTGCCGGTCTCAATCCCGGATAAAGAAGGATGGTTGGGCATGGGGTTGGCGACCCCATCTCATTAAAAAAACTAACTTGCCAAAACAACGCTAACCAGAAAAAATAATTCAAACCATTTTAACTCTGCCCTGGGAGTTGGAAGAAGAATTATGACGTCGCGTGATGAAAGCCGAGTTACCTCGGAAGTCACGGGGCCGATGCTTCTTCTGACAACCATAGCAGCCATTCGTTTAAGTGGATGGAACGTTCGAAAATTCTGGGAGACTGGGAGACTATTTCCAGTTGCGGCAGAAATGAAAAGATACAACCTCGAGGTGCTCGGCATCAGTCAAACGCATTGGACACAGGTAGGACAACTGAGACTAGCTTCAGGGGAACTGCTGTTATACTCTGGTCATGAAGAGGAGAATGCTTCACATACACAAGGATTTGCACTGATGCTGTCCAAACATGCACAAAAGGCACTGATAGGATGGGAATCTCATGGACCCAGGATCATCAAAGCATCCTTCGAAACAAAGAAAGAAGACATTACAATGAACGTCATCCAATGTTATGCACCTACCAATGACTACAATGACGACGTTAAAGATCAATTCTACGAAAGGCTGCAGTCAATCGTCGAGAAATGTTCACCAAAGGATTTGACGATTCTTATGAGAGACCTGAATGCGAAGGTTGGAATGGACAACACTGGATATGAAGACATCATGGGACGACATGGACTGGGAGAAAGGAACGAAAACGGTGAGAGATTTGCAAACCTATGTGCCTTCAACAAACTGGTCATCGGTGGCACAATATTCCCGCACAAACTCATACACAAAGCCACATGGATTTCACCGGATCACACTACTCAAAACCAAATTTATCATATCTGTATCAACAAAAAGTTCAGAAGGACCATGGAGGATGTGAGATCCAGGAGAGGAGCTGAAATAGCCTCAGATCACCACTTGCTGGACGCCAAAATGAAACTGAAACTCAAGAAGCACTGGACAACGGGGCAGACAACATCACACAAGTTTAATACGGCCTTTCTTCGGGATACCGTAAAACTCAACGAATTCAAGATAGCCCTCACCAATAGGTTCCAGGCCTTTCAGGATCTACTCAATGCAGAGGAAGCAACATTGGAGAACAATTGGAAAGGCATCAAGGAAGCAATCACTTCAACATGTCAGGAGGTCCTTGGTCGCAAGAAGCACCATCACAAGGAATGGATCTCTGTTGGTACTCCTGAAAAAATTGAAGAAAGGAGGAACGAGAAGGCAGCAGTGAATGTCAGTCGAACAAGAGCAGAGAAGGAAACTTGAGACAATTGTACGAAACAACAAATAAGCTGGCCGGAAACTATCGTAAACCAGAACGACCAGTGAAAAGCAAGGCGAGCAAAGTAATCAGCAACACTGAACAACAGCGAAATAGGTGGGTAGAGCACTTTAAGGAACTATTGAATCGACCAGCTCCACTGAACTCACCCAACATCGAAGCAGCATCCACGGATCTCCCAATTAATATTGGCGCAACTACAATTGAGGAGATCAGTATGGCTATCAGACAAATCAAGAGCGGCAAAGCAGCAGTACCAGACAACATTCCAGCAGAGGCAATCAAAGCAGATGTGGAGGTAACTGCGAAAATATTTCACAAACTCTTCAAGAAGATTTGGGATGAGGAACAAGTACCATCAGATTGGAAAGAAAGATACCTGATCAAAATACCAAAGAAAGGCGATCTCAGCAAGTGTGAGAACTTCAGAGGCATCACTCTTCTTTCAATAACAGGCAAAGTCTTCAACAGGGTATTGTTAAACAGAATGAAGGACTTCGTAGACGCCCAAATTCGAGATCAACAAGCCGGATTTCGTAAGGATCGATCGTGTACTGACCAAATTGCTGCATTACGGATCATTGTGGAACAATCAATTGAATGGAACTCACCACTCTACATCAACTTCATCGACTACGAGAAAGCATTTGATAGTGTGGACAGGACAACACAATGAAGGTTCTTCGGAACTATGGCGTGCCTGAGAAGATAGTCAACACCATAGAGAATTCCAATGATGGATTCAACTGCAAAATCGTGCACGGACGATAGCTGATAGAATCGTTCGGGGTGAAGACCGGTGTGAGGCAAGGTTGCTTACTCTCACCCTTTCTCTTTTTCCTCGTTATCGACTGGATTATGAAGACGTCAACATCTGGAGGGAAGCACGGTATTCAGTGGACAGCTAGGACGCAGCCGGACGCTTACAGTATGACCTAGATGTTGTGCACCTTCCTTATTTGCACTCTGCTTTTGAAAATGTGGCTGTATTATACTGTTTCTGGTAGTGACATGGTGTAAATTTGCTATGAGAAAATGACTCTTATACTTAATTTAACTGCCATAACTTTTACAGTAAATGTGAAAGCATTTGTGACTATTTGATCTAGCCCTTAGGGCAAAAGGAAAAGAGGAAGGCTAAGGAACACATTACGTCGAGAAATAGAGAGTTGGTTGGCGAAAACTGGTGCACGGCCTATGCTCCATTGGGGGTGACAGGCGTAAGTAATGAGTTCCAATGGTACTAGCAGAACCGATCAGATTGTCTGTATGTTTTTGACTTTGGCCAATGAAAATTTGAATTTGTTTACACCTTAACATTATTAGTGTTAAGCTTGTATGCACATGTATGCTTGAGCGTTTATTACCACCTAATCACTTGATAAATCTACTAGCTTTAATGATTAATTGTTGAAATACTTCCGCGACAGTATCGACCATATTATATCTGAAATAAATTTGATAATTGCAGTGGAAGGAAAAATGAATTTTGGCAACCACTAGCGCTTTTTTAGTAATGGTTGTCTGAACGGCATTATACGAACTTCAGGAAATTCAATGCCACAAGTTTGTTGAATTGTGGCAGGTCTATACCACTACTTAGCACTGACATGTCTGCCGAAATGAAAATCCAGTGAATGGGGTTGCCTAACTTCACGAAAGGGTAAACGCACGGTAGGTGGCAATCGGTTTTTCATTTTAGGCCAGCGGATTGGAAACCGAGTGAAACTGTGTGGTTTCTTAAAATATTTGGGAGACTCGACATAGGTACTTTGGTAACAACCGCAAATTGGGTTGCCTGTTTCTCTCGGTCTGGAAACAGGTCTTTTTCGAGATGGGCTTTGTCTCGAAGTCTTTGATTGTTCGCGACTCTGCTGAAGGTTTAAGAAGCGCTTTATTTTATTCCGGAAATCTGAGAATTTCGTTTCGGGTTAGTTGAGGTGTTTTATAGACGGGAGAAAATCCCGATGGTGGGGGTTTCGGTGATCTCCAGAATCTGACCAGTAGATATTGCTAGTTATTCCACGACATTATTCTGAAGTGAGATTAATACAGTTCATACCTCTTGGGAAATTTTAGGTGGAAAGATTGTTAGAAAGGGCCCTTGTCGAAGGTTCACTGGCAAATGACGTTTCCGATATGCAGATACATTTTTGTCGCTGAACCGCATTGCAGTTACATTCTATGTAGAAGTTGGATTAACGTTTGTCGATTGGGCAGGTCTGAGTGTTTAAGAAACGCTTATATCAAGGCGTTGTAAGGTTCACTCGCAAGCATACTGTGTTACTTACCCGTTCAACTCGTTCAGCAGTGTCTTTACGACAGAGAAGAATTGCTCACTTGTGTCTGTCACTCATAGAAGTCAGTCGTTGCATATCAGGACCCGGTTGTTAGACCAGAATGGCATGATTTGAAAGTTTTGGGGCTGCATAGTCCTGATATTAAGATGTTTAGGAGCGTGTTCAGACTAAATGGAAATGGCACATATATAAATACGTGAGAAGAAACACGTCTAAACAAAAATAATATCACAGTATTTAAAAATATATAGAAAGATACAACATTATGACAAGAAACAGACCACATCGTGCCCACCACTGAGGATGCCATGGATATTTAGAGTTGGAAAACGCCTTTGTCCGTCACACCGTTCAGGTCTGGAATACCCAAAGCCAAGTCAAACCTGAATGCAGTAATGAGGAGTATCGTAGGTATTAGTGAGATGTTTAGGAGTAAGTGAACTAAACTTGTTGGTTGTTGCAAGGAGACGAGTTGCATGGTACACTCCACGGTGGTCTGGTTTGGATGTGTGACCGAGCACCTACAGCTGGTTGTGTTCATTTACACTAATGAGGTTAGGTCCAGTGTTGAAGACGTACAAAACCATTTCTTTTGGTGATTTATTCACCGCTACAGTCCTCTCTCCCTAGTGCAGTAGTTATGACCCTAAGACATGACCGATCAGTTTATTTAGAGGTAAAACACTACGAATAATCGAAAAGTCATAACCGTCAAATTGGTTTTTTAACTATGCTGGCGCATATTCAAGCAGTTAAGGTCGCCTACTCCACGAATCCCCTTATCTCTTATAATGTTAATGAATGGTGATAATGATGTAGTAGGAGAGGCTGCTAAATTTCACAAACCAGGAGAGAATTATAATTCTCCTGGTTATGTTGTGACGAAGGATACTATGAGGTTGCTGAAAGAACATGTAAAGCAAACAGGTGGTGTAGTAGTGACCAGGTTTCCCCCTGAACCAAACGGTATTTTACACATTGGCCATGCTAAAGCAATAAATTTTAATTTTGGTTATGCAAAAGTTAGTCTGTCTCACTGGAATTTACTATTTTTAGAAACACGGTGGCATAACCTACTTAAGGTATGACGATACAAACCCGGAGAAAGAAGAGGCAGAGTTTTTTGAGGCTATTGAGGACATGGTTAGATGGTTAGGTAAGTGTTTAAAAAAACTAACAGTTCCAAGGTTTTACTCCATATAAAATTACACATGCATCAGATAATTTCCAACAGTTATACGAATGGGCAATTAAGTTAATCAAATTAAAGCTAGCTTATGTTTGCCATCAGCCTGTTGAAGAAATACGAGGTTTTAATCCGCCACCTTCTCCATGGAGAGACAGACCGGTTGAAGAGTCCTTACGATTGTTTGAGGATATGAAGAACGGCAAGGTATGTATGCTCATTATCCGTTTTTGGTTCCTTAAAATCGTTGGAAGCATATTTTGCAGATTTGCCGTCATAGATATTCTACATAGTCTTGGGAATAGGTTTTTCTGATTGCAGAATACCATTGTTCTGATCATAGTTCTGGTATGATAACAATCAGTCAGTCAGTTACAACGTAGAAATATCTACGTACGTACATCAGTTCAAGTTGCTATATATGGTATTATGAAGATTGCAATTAATTCGCAACATCAACACTTCGCACCGCGAAGGCATTATTTAAGTAAAATTCAAAATAAAGCATTTGGAGGTTTGTTTTTACACAAAGTGAAGTTAGTATTTCTAGCCCACCTCACTGGTTACACTCGATAGTCTGAATCCGTCACCAAAACAATGCAAACAGATTATCGGATTCTGAACGAGATTAACAGGGTGTACTTTATGGTAGTATTATAAATAAAGCCACGCCAGTCGGAAATATCCGTGTCCTAACATTACGCCTTTAAGTTTCTATATTTGAGAGACCATTCAGCTTATAGATTGTCGACTTCATTTTATTCCGAAAGGTTAGTATAACTTTTATGCCTTGTAGATGTAAGTATACACTAATTTGGTTTTGCTGCATTATATATCACTTATAAAACTATAATAAAACGATATAAATGCTACATTTGTTCATGTTTTGTTTTTTACATACGAATCAACATTTAAAAGTCATACTTGGATTTGCGGCATTTAGTATTGTTGTTTGTGTTTTTAGTTGAAGGATGGTTATTATAGATGGTCTGAAGAGTAAACCTTATGGCATTTGTATCACGTAAAATATTTTCGTAATTCGTTATTGTTATTTAGATTGACGAAGGCAAAGCTACATTACGTATGAAAGTGACATTGGGTGATGGAAAAGTGGATCCAGTAGCTTATCGCATCAAGATGACTCCTCATCATCGCACTGGTACTGAATGGTTAGTTACTTCTCTGTACTCTATGTTACAATTCTATTTAGGTGCATTTATCCTACCTACGATTATACTCATTGTTTGTGTGATTCCATCGAGAATATTACACATTCATTATGCACTAAGGAATTTCAGTCACGGTAAGTAGTACCAAATAAAATAGTACGTGTAATACTGTGATTGTTGTCATACCCTGCCACAGAAGTATTTAGTTGCGTAACGACAATGAATTCACGTTAGTTTTTTTTACTAGATATGGAACACCATTTGAAGTGGTTAAAACATATGTTACACACACAAAGAGTGGATGCACCTGCGCCATTGCAAACGATTCTGATCCATGTCACTCAGGGTCTCTCGCAGACCAAAACCTCTTAGTCTACACTTACAAAAATGACTCAGTCCACTTGTCAGTGACTTCATGGATTTGTTCCATGTTTGGTTTGGCACTGAATCAATCTTTTTTGTCTGTCAATATAGTCCCTAACTATGTAAATTTTCAAACTGATAACTTTAGTAGAGTTAGCCTAATTTATTGTTGTGAGGAATGAAATTTGAAGTCTGTAAGTAAGGTTTCCAAATCGGGCTTAGTCGAATGTATATCGAAAAATTCATGTAATTTCCTGAATTCATCTAAAAGATGTGTTTCAATAAAAATTTAGGTAATTCCTTACTTTTACAAGCGAGTACAAATTTAGAAAATAATTATATTTCTTCGTTAATAGTAAAATAAGAGTGCATAAGTGGAAAATTCGAAGACGGCCTGAGAACGACTTAATCAAAAGTGACGGGTAGTGTGATGGTTAATTCATAATGTAAAAAATGTTGACACTCACAACAAGTTTTCATAAAACTGAATTTATTGTTTCGTTATATCTGTTTACAGTTCTCAGATACTAGGAATACTGAACAACTAGTTTCATATCTGTAGTTGTAAGATTTACCCATTTTAGTAAACCAGACCTTACAGCTGTATCATTATCAATATTTGTCGTATTGGTATTTATATATAAGAGCCTATACGTGTATAACTGGTAACAGTTTTTCTTGAATCCATTGTTTCAGACGTCCTGCCTACTATTGGCTTTGTAACTCACTAAATATTTATTGTCCAGTCCAATGGGAATATGGTCGCCTCAATTTGTATTATAGTGTGGTGTCTAAGCGCAAGATTTTAAAACTGATAGAAGCTGGGATTGTTAATGACTGGGATGATCCACGGCTAGTGACTTTAACAGCACTTCGTCGTCGTGGATTTCCACCTCAAGCTATTAATATGTTTTGTGAACGTATTGGCGTTACCATGGCTCAAACAGTTCTTGATCCTTCTGCTTTGGATGCTTGCGTACGAGACTACTTGAATGATCATGCACCACGTGTAATGGCTGTCTTAGACCCAGTAATGGTAACTATTACGAATTGGTCTGAACTATATGGCGATAAGTCTTCTGTTGAGGTAAAATTGCTTTTCAGAACTCCTTACATTCATTGTTTAGGTTGACAGCAAGTTTAGCATACCTTACTTTTTGTTTTTAGCTTACGGTGGCGGACTTTCCTGCCATTCCCGACAGTAAGACCCATAAGGTTCTATTACAACAGGATCTGTACATAGAAAGTACAGACTTTCAAGAAATTGCTGAAAAAGGATATCGCCGTTTAACACCTGATCAACCGGTTGGTCTTCGATATACGGGTCTCGTTTTAGAATTATCCGATTTGGAAAAGGTATAAAATTCTTTTCTACATTACTTGAATTTGATTATATTTGAATTTCGTAAAATATTTGTTGATTTCCTGATTACTGTTTTGATGTGTATGTAATAATATAAAATTTTAGACAATATTTTTATGTTTATATTTTCTAAGAAAAATCACATGTTTTGGTTTTACTGCTGCAATAAAACCATGGACCAAATCGCCACTCTCCTTAGGGGTATAAAAAGTTGCTTAACATTCAATATTTTCGTAAAATATCAAAATAGGTTTTGAATAAAAAGAGAATAAAATCTGAAGTTAAATGTATCAGAAATACAAAAAATACTTCTCTTTTGACTTTAGTTTCGTGAATAGTACTTTACCTCAGGAATCCTGTTGAATTGTCAGTAGCCCCATAATAAGCTTCATAGCTTTTACATTTTTCCATACGTCGGACTTCTCTAAGTATTTGTATTTGCTTAAGTCTTGTAGTCACTAATGTTACGTTACTGAATTGTCCTCATTTATCTCCAAATTGCCCTTCATATAGGATTCCAGTATGAAAATAATTCGTTTATTTGTGAAAGCTCATAAGGTGGAAGATTCTATAAAGCCAAAAGCTTTTATACACTGGGTGTCCAATCCTTTGCGATTTGAAGCTCGACTGTACGACCGATTGTAAGTTTGTGCCTATAGCCTATACATAATTCGTTGAAATTAATTTTCCACAGGTGCCAGTAAAATGTATTATTATTATTATCTGGTGTTTTTAGGTTCACTGTGAAGGAGCCAGAGAGCGAAAAGAATGGATTCTTGTCTGTCATCAATAAAGTATGTCAGAAGAAATTCATATCATCTTTATTACGAGTCACAGTTTTCTTGTTTTTGTATGGGGAGATTAAATAGCTTGTTATTTAAGTTCATGAGAGATTTTAAATGTTTATATTACTAGTTGGTCATCAATTTGGTCTAAAAATTGTACAAACAACCTGTTGATAAGTTTGATTTTACAACTCACTGGTAGTATTTATATATGTTTAATGCCAGAGACTGCGTACGTCTTCATCGGCGCTTCAAGTAAAAGAAATCATACAATATCAGTCTTTTTAAATTATTGAATGATATTTTTGCGACCGTTTTGTCAGTGTAGATAAAAACCCCCTAATCCTGGTATTCTGCTGCCCTTTTTGATTCATTTGGGAATTCATTATTCACCCATATAGTGGAATCCGTTCAGTGCATTTTAATTTCAGATGATCTCAGTCAATACTTGAACATTTTTCCTGATCAATTTTTTACAAGCCTTGTATTCTGTTTTGTTTTATTTCTCGGTGGTATATATTTACGGTTTACTGGTGAGCACTAAGAAAATCAGCATGAAGTAATTTGGTTAAACTACAGTTAAACCAGACATATTTTTCTCTTGTTTATGTTTTCATAGCTATACAGTAATTCAAAACTAGTTTGTTCCATTTTTTCCATCGTTGATAGTTTTGATGATTTCGGTCTTCAACTAGATCTATAACCATTCAAATTTTCTTGTGTAATATGCAATAACTGCAGGATGCCCGTGATTTCCTACAGAAAGAGATTCATCTCAATTGTTAAAGATAAGGTGTAAAACTTTTCGTTTCTAAATGCCATTAAATTGCCTGAAATTATTATTGATGAAGGAGATCAATTCACTTTTTTTCAAAGATATTTGTTAATCACCCGCTATATCATAGTCGTGTAGGCATATTTAAGCCATGCTTCTTAGATGCAGTCATATATAAAAATATCGGGACTATCAGATTCTTGTAAATTTCAGATTAGCGTTTGAAAAATTCTGATTTATTGACCACACCAATATCTTAAACTATTATTGACAACCATCATGATCTGTAATTTCACACTTATTTCTTATCATAAAATTACAATATTCCAAAAAGAATTTGATTTGTGTGCACAGTTGAAACCTTATAAATTAGTATGTATAAATTAGTTTTTCAAAAAAGATTGCGCAATCATAGTACTTTTTTACAGATTATTTTTGTCTCTTATCAAACTTTCGATTTAAAATGCATTTATTTGTGTTATTCATTTTTGATTATTATCTGAATTATCCTCAACCAACTTCCACAATTGTTCAGAATTCACTAGTCATACTTCCAAATGCTTTGATTGAGCAGTCTGTTAAGAACGCTGAGGTTTACACTGCCTTTCAGTTCGAACGTATTGGTTTCTTCTCTGTGGATCCTGATACAAACTCAGAACGCGTAAGTTTTTCTTATTCTATGGTAAGCACAGTATTTGTACTACTTAATGTGAAAAGAACCTAGGCAAAATTTAAAAAAAAAGCTTCTACAAGCGATAAGAATTTTGAGTTACACCTTTGGATTCTTTTCATCGTGTTTTCAACTAATAATATCACGGTGTATCTCTGAATCATATGAAGGAATAAAATATCTCTTTAGTAAACTATAGTTCACAAATAATTAATAACTTTAGTTTTGATTTTAAAAAACTGGATTGTAACGTCTACTTTCATAAAAAAATTGTGACTCATTGTCTAACATTTAATCAATTTTATTATCTTCGAATAAATACCACTGTACAACATTCAGTCAGTCAGTCAGATGCAACATAGAACTTGGTACGTAAGTACATCAGTTCATGTTGCCATACCACATCAGCACAGAGATGTAATTGTCAATTCAAATCCAATAGTAGAAGAGGTAGTAAGGGAATTAGAAATAATCGGAGAGGTTAGGATTAGAAGATACTATTCAAGAAGTATGATTCAGTGAGAAAAGTTTAGAGAGTCGAGACTAGAAGGGTTGAAGAATCCAGAAGATTAGGATTTGAGAGAACACAAAGAATAAATGCACCGGCGCCATTGCGAACGATTTTGAGCCATGTCATTCAAGGTCTCTAACCATAGATTATTATCATCTCACGGACCCCAACCATTGTACAACATTGATCCTACAAAATAAGAGTAGGCTTTTATTCATTCGGGAGAATAAGATGGTTTTATTTTTATTCTAATAATTTTTGTAAGTCCTATTATTATTGTTTTCTTTGGTCTTCTATTTTATTTTAGATGGTTTTCAATCGAACTGTAGCTCTAAAAGCTGATCCGGGTAAAACAATTTAATATCGAAATTCGTTTTCACGACTATAAGTTTCTAATGCTTGGTTGAACATTATGTATAGTGCTTATATGGCCTGTAATATATTTTCTACCTTGGATACGTTTTCACTTTTGTTGTATTTATCAGACTTCATCTAGCGAGACATTTCGGATGTCAGATAATAGTTTCGTTTGATAGTGTGTTGCTTTATTAGTGTCGTTGCCCATGTTCATAATCAAAGAGATAAGAGAGTTATTAGGTGTGGAAAGGATTTAATTGTGACCAATTTGATCTCGTGTGCTCTTATGGGTATAAGGACGGATGTTACTTCCTGTCTGCCCACACCGTAGAAGAGTTCTGGTTGTCAGAAGCGGCATCGACCTCATGACTTCCGAAGGAACTCAGCTTTCATCATGAGACGTCATAATTCTTCTAAATGAAGACCTAACTCTCAGAGCAGTTTATATGGTTCGAATTATTCCTCCTTGTTAGCGTTTTTTTGGCAAGTCAGGTTTTTGAGGAATGGGGTCATTAACGCTTCTCCTTTATCCGGGATTGGGACCGGCAGTAGTCCCGAAGGGTCCACAGGCGGAGTTCCATGTTCATAAAGTATGTGGTGGGTGTGGGCTCATCAGTTCTGTGGCGGTATATATATATTCTCCCTAACTCCGTATGCTGCTCGTCTTGATAACCGTTACTAGATAATTCCTAGCGGTGTATAGATCAGAAAACGAATACTAAGCGCTGATTATATTTATTATTACACTGCACGCAGATCACACAATCACAGGCGCTCGAAGCGAAAATGATATGCGAGTGTCGAAGAGCAAGCGAGCGAGAGAGTGAATAGGATAAAAATGTAAATATATATATATATATATATATATATATACATGGGATAGTAAATGATTCATCGAATTATTTTAGTGAATATCATTAAAGCGAGTAGAATGATTATGTGTGTAGTTGGCAACCTATGTTCAATCATACCTGCTTATGCAATCGCGACAATAGTAAAAACACAATGGTACAGATAGATTTTGACTATGCAAATGACTCTGTCTGTTAAATAAGTTAATAAAAGGGCTTAACCAAATTAAACTCAAATGTATGTGAGTTGCTATTGATTATTTTGTCAGAAGGGATTTAACTGTAAGTTGGAAATCCCATTCACATCTGTTTACCTTAAGAAGGTGCATGCGTAAATCACTTTGAAGCAGTTTGTATTGACATTCGTGAGATTCATCCTTTTTGTTAAAAAAATAACTAAATATATAATACTAACAAAGTAGTAGTTCAGTTATATCTGATTAGAAATATTATGAAAGGAAACGATGGATTAAAAGTATCAATCACAGTGTTCATGTTTATTTTGATCCATGTAAAGACCGAAATCATTCGCGAAACTCATTTTACTTCGACTTATAACAGTGTAATAGCCGTTCACTTTCCCTTAATTATGGACTGTATTTTTGCTTCCAGCAGTATTCATCAGTTGGATTAAACAATTGTGGAAAATATCTTATTTACTTTAAAGCATCTGTGTACTTTGAGATTAGATTTCATGTTTTAACATAATATTCGTGAGATAATGCACATAAAGCAAACGATTGTTGAAAAAACTGGAAAGAAAATGCAGATTACATTTTGAAGCTGTTCAACTGCAGAAAATGCTTCAGTACTAGTTTATTTTTACACAGCGCAAAGTGGTTGAGCTTTTTGTTTGCTTTAATTTCTTAGATGGTTGGGTCAGTCAAAGCGGATTACAAAAGTTAGTATAGAACTCTTGTGCTAAATACAGTGTTATCACGATTTCTGAGAACGGATTTGATGGCGAGTTTATGGTAAATCAGTTCGCTTCGTTTAACTTTATCAGAAAATTCCAAATATAATCTCATAGTAGTCTTCGTGGAGCGATATTTGTTAAACTCTTAAATCAGTAATTTTGAAGTTAATACTACAGATTTACCCATGACCATTATCCACTTATTTGACTTTTACACTTTTACAAATTGAAATACCTAGTAAGTACGCAGCACATACCTGATTTCCACTTACCCAAATGAATGATGATAATAATGGGACTAGTTCGATAATGATTGTCTGTTGTTTCGTCCTGAAGTGTTTTTTGAGATCAATCTCCTTAAGCTTCGGGAGTTATGTCTGTCAGCAAATCTCAATACGGTAGGTTTATTCTTTCTTCATCTTTTATCATATCTTAGATAAAGTATGTTCTTACTAGTCTTCGAGCTATTTTTGTCATCTAAGTACTTATGCAGAAACCATATAGTCACAACTTTAAACCTTTTTACCGTATAGTTGCACTGCTCTCATACAAGCCTTGAGCATTGGAGTACTTTGTGTTCATCAGATGTATGGTGAACAGTTCATTCCCTACATGATCACGTTCAGTTCCACATTTTTGGAAGTCAGTTACAATATTTCCACACTGCGAATATTTGTTTAGAGGTTTCGATATCTTGTATATTGGGGTTGCAAGGAGGGATACAATATGAATTAGTGGAGTGTTGGGTTTGTATGGTTTCTGCCTACCATAGAATCGTGTGATAACTGGTCTATTGGATTTCTTTCTCCATTGATCTTGTTATGATCTTTCCCTGCTGTGACAAGCTTGTCTTCGGGATTTGGTTGTCTAACCTTTTGATTGGATTTGTGTCCAACGATTTCTATACACTTCTATTCTCAATTAGTTCCTCAGCTTTCCTGGCATGTTCTTTCTTGTCCATAATTACTAATACGTCCTTTACCCACCGAAACTATGACGATATCTCCCCTTGTCCTGAGTTTCGTTAAGGCTTTCCTTTCTTGTGTGGTAGGTTGGGTTTTGTCTCTCTTTCATCGAGTTAGCGATACTATACTTTGTCTTATTATCTGTTGAGTTTCTTGATCTATTCTGGCAGTTTCTCATCTACAAGGAATTTATAGTGGTGTTTTCATTACCCTCGACATGTTCGTTAGATGTTGTTTTGACAGATTGGCCACAAAATCATTTGCATTTTACTTTGTGGTTGGTTTTAAAATCTCGATTAATTTTTTATCTGAGGCTGTCCTCTGTGTTGATGTAGAACTAAGAAGTTCTGATATACAGAAACTGTTTCTTATGGGTCAAGTTGTTATTGTTCATTGCCTTTTCAGTCTAGTTTTTGATTTGACGCTTAGGTAACACGATATTTTTATACTTTGTACCTAAAATACATTCATGAACAGAATTCTTGCTCCGATTAATGAGTTTTATTTCTAAAATAATTGATTTTATAAATGTGTAGTGTGTGCACGAATCCTTTTTAAGCATACTAACTAATTTCGCCTAAAACTTGAGACAGTGTGTATCTAGTGTTTTATGTTTATGAAAAATAATGAAGAGAAGAACAGTCTGCTGGTTTCGTTCGACAGGATTTATCAAAAACTTCAAGAATGTTTTATAAATACCAAACGACTTAAATGTAGCATAAAATATCTAAGGAAAATATGAAAATAGACAACAATCATACTTAAATCAGTGAAATAGATTATATAGAAAAAAACTAAAATAAAAATTCTAGTATGTTCTTAAACAAAGAATTCCCTTAAAGCCAACATTAATGCAGATGTTTAGTCCACAGGACAGTGCAGCAAATTAGAAGGTACGGTATGATGGTAGCCGGTGACGAAAACTGGGTCTATACGCCATTTGTTCCCTCAAAATCCCGGAGTTAATGTGCACCTTTTGTTTGGAATCGAGGTTTTCCAACTCCCTTAGGCGGGACATTCGAAAATTATGATTGTAAATACTGAAAATAGAAAGCAATTGAACAGCTCAATATTTGAACATCTCATCGATTCCAGTCAGACCACAAACATTTTTCTAAATCGTTTAAACAGTCTGACTGAAAGGAAAGACAAATTAAAGACTTATTCAGAAGTCAGTTTCTGTCTAGGTATTTTCATCTTTTTGAAAAGTAATTTTAATTCACTGTATTACTTACGTGTGTTATACTTGGTTTTTATCATATCGTGAAATCGTTAAAACCAAAATTCAACAGTGTGAAGTGGATGTTGTTATTTATAGTAGTTACTTATGCTCAAGTTTCTGTATTTCAAAGTTATTCCACTCTCTGTACATCACATACCTTTATATCGAAATCTGTTAATTTGAAATTAAAATTATTATTCACTGTTTTCTAATAATTATCAATAGTTCTTCATCCAATACAAGTTCATGATGAAAATTACCCTGTAAAACAATCATTTAAACCTAAAAATCACAATACTTGATATATTTAACTTTTAAAATATATCTTTAACATAAATGAACATTTAATTAAATTCCAAAAATAGTCTTCGCATTGAAAAAACGATATCTGTTCACAAATATGTATACCAAGAAAAGATTTATTCATACTCGTGTTTGGATAGATGTATGTAATCATCTTCGTTTTTTTTATTAGGAATAATAATTCACTTCTCCTTTTTTTGTTGTTGTTGAATATCTTGGATAATTTACTGGAATTCAACAGAAAAAAAACACAAAAATTTCTTTATTGAACAATAAACTTTTTAAGAAAAGTACACAGAAAACCACATACCATTACAATTTGGTTTGTCAGAAGAGAATGCTTACTTACTTGTTCCGAATGATGGCAAAATATTGGATTTAAAATTCAATGTTTTGCCTGTTGTAGAATTTATTTCAAACACTGGATGTGTTTATGTTAAAAAAAATAATGATAGTAAATTACATGTAAACAGTTTTTTTTCCATATTGTCATTGGTTTGTATGCAGAAATGAAATCATATTTTACCTATATAAGACTGTGAACAACTAAGATGCTTGCTTCACTCTAAAACCCAAAATTGTAATCAAAGGATCACATGATTTAAATGTAAGGAACACAGAAGAACGAGCATAAAGAGCACAAAGTATGCTAGTAAAACTCCTTATTCTTATAGTTGTGAATCTATTCGATAAATAGACACTAATCATCCAAATCTTAGGTAAGTAAATACTTCTCTATCAACACATACTACTTAATATTTGTTTGAGTAGCCTGTAAAGATTAGTTTGGGCAGAAGTTTATTTAAGTCATAGACTAATTAACTAAGGTATTAAAAAGTAGAGA